AAGTGGTGGGCGATGTTCTCGGTGTGCTGTTGTGGAGAATTTTGACTGGAAAGAATTATCCTCGGCAGGTGGGGTCACGAGGCAAAGGATTTCGAGGGAAAGCAGACTAGTTTATAGACTGAGTCAGTACTGCTGGTTGTCTGTTTGGCTACAGAATACGAGGAAATATGAGATTATTTTCATCTGTACCCTAAAGACATGATTGACTTAGTTTCATGCTGGGAAGAATAATGCAAACTCGATTGTTCAGTTTATTTGTCTTTGTTCTAGTATTCTGAAGTCTATGCCTAGTCTTCTTTAGTAGGTAGAGTATATTACCATCTTACCTTACTAAGTAGTTTTTTTTTCTAGATCCGTTCCTTGGAAGGACTTACCAGTGGTGATTTTGAAGGATATAGGGACAGGCATTATTGTTGTTGTAATCGTCGTTGTTTCCGTCGTGGACACTGTTGTTGTGTTGGTAGGAGGCTGGTATGTCGGCATTGTGATGGAGACTGGTGTGGTTTCGGGGAAGGGGATTGTCGTTGGAGGTGTCATTTTGGTTGTGACAACACTAACAGTTCTTGTTGGCGTGGGTGTGCTCCATGTAGTGGATATGGTTGAGAATGTGGTGGGGGCACTTGTCTTTGTGGTTGGGTGTAGTCGAGTAGGGCTGGATGGTGGAGAACTGGAAGTGGCAGGGGTATGGGATTTGGTGGTGGCTGTTGTCCAAGGTGTTTTGGTGGTGGACGGCTGTGTGGAGACACTGGTCCTTGAGGTGGTGGTCAGTGAAGTGGTGGGCGATGTTCTCGGTGTGGTGCTTGGGACGATTGTGACTGGAAATGAAAAGTATCCCCATCAGTCGGTTGGTGCAGCTGATGAAGGCGATTCGGAGAGAAAGCAGATAATTTGATGGACTCGGTCTTGTAATTTCCTTGATGCACCTACCTGGAGAGGATGCTGTCGGCATTGTACTGCTGGTTGTGGATGTGGCTGCAGAAGAAGAGAGGAAAGGCGAGCCTAATTCAATTGATCCTCCAAGGAAATCAGTGACTTAAAGCTGTGTGGGTGTTCAGGATCTGAACATGAGATTTTACCCCCTTTGCAGAGATTCTCTTGGAATGAGTGCCCCAATGAGAGAATGTCAACATTCTCCCTCCATTGCTTCTCATATTGGTTGTTGGAATGCTCTGGAACTTTCCCCCTCTTTTACTCTCTCAAAACAGATTCATTTTAGAAAGGGAAAGGTCTGGAGGCAAGTTGTTCTCCTTATGCCACTGGGTTCTCCCTGAAATTTGGACTGAACTTCTGGCATTTGCTTTTGTTTAATGCTGCTGAATTTTGACTTTTGGTTTTGCCACCACCCTGGAATTAGTTGTATAGATGAATTGCTGATGGTTTCCAAATTATTCATAACTTTTCCATCCACACTATTGGAATAAGGCTTTATCTTCCTGTCGTTATTGTTGGGCTACATTCGCCTACTGATATTTTCCCTTCACTATATTGATTTGAGTCCTACTCTAGTAGACTATTGACAGAATAAGATTCATGTAAATGTCTACTCATCAACTGAATCAGTACACCTACACTTGTTGGGAGGAGCTATCAGGCAGACCTGTGGCTTGGATTAAGACTTTCCTCTCCCTAACATAATTATCCTGTGGGTAGATTTCTATTCAGGATCATATCTGTCCAGTGGAAAGGAGGGAGGCCATATTTGTTTGTTTTCTCTTTATCATGCAGCCCTTTATGCCCTCTTAAACTCTTCTCTGGAGTTTTCTTCTAAGGTATCTTACTTGAATATATTCGCGAAGGCTTTTGACGGCTGGGATCTAATGGTTGTTGTGGGTTTTTCAGGCTCTTTGGCCATGTTCTGAAGGTTGTTCTTCCTAACGTTTCGCCAGTCTCTGTGGCCGGCATCTTCAGAGGACAGCAACCTGTGCTCTGGTGTAGTTGGCTTGGGAGTGCCAAGCACAGGTTGCTGTCCTCTGAAGATGCCGGCCACAGAGACTGGCGAAACGTTAGGAAGAACAACCTTCAGAACACTGCCAAAGAGCCCGAAAAACCCACAACAACCATATCTTAGTTGCATTGTACAAGGATGGGTGTAAATTACCTCCATCCTCTTTCTACAGTTGGATCTTCTAATGAATCAAAAGCCTGCAAGGCAGAGAAGTAGTCTTTCCATTTGTGGGAGGCAAAATGATGACTCAGCCCTGTGTGTTTAAGTGGATTCCATACAGCTTTAAATACACATTTTAAAAACACTAGTCACCTGTTGGTGTGGCTGTAGGTGTTGCTGTAGGAGTGGGCGTGGGTGGGATATCTGAAAAGACAAAAACGTGAGCATGATGTGGGTTACAAAAAGTTTTCTAAAATTGAAATGCTTCCAGGCTTTGGAAAAACCTGTATTCTTCATTTTGACTCTGTACATGCCTATGAAAATGTACAGCATAGCAAACATTTGTGTCCTGTTTGATCAGGTAGTGCATGAGAGTACCAGATTGTATGTTAAGAAAAAAAATCATATTTCCTTCTCTTGCAGTGTTATTCCTTGAGGCAAAAGAAATGTGTTAGTGTACAATTGAGTTATGGGATATTCAAATAAAGTCAGGCTACCTAATAATAGAGCAGTTACAAAATAAAAGCTAATTGGCCAAATGCAGATTGAAGCCAGCTCCTTTTTTTGAATAAGTAAACAACTTTTTCCTCCTAAAGCTGTGTTGCTTCTAGATATTGAGTGAACATTTCGGAAGACCTTCAAGTTCAGATTTGCAGCGATCATAGCCATGTATATGGCTAAGGACTTCCAAATACTGTATTTGTTTTTTGTACACAGACGTTGCATCCATATTGAAAAAAATCACCAACTGTGAAGTAACTCTAATTTGCTAACATTATTGTTATGGGAAGGAATGGTAATATCAAATATATGCTGCAAATCATATATATTTCTCACGTCTATAACAAAAATGGGATGTTGTTTATGAAAGCACAAACTAGAAAAAAATTCTGTATATAATTCCAGAAGTTCTGGTTTGTTGGGAAATGCTCTGCATAAGTTTTAAGATGACTTTTCATCACACTCAACATGCTTTATAAAAATAACTAATTTCCCATTAACCAGTATTTGCAGCTACATTCTAAATCACACACATCTGAGTAAACAGAGTATTTCTTAAAATCAATGGATGAGCAAAAAGTTACTATCCAGTAGCTGCTTTTAAGTCCCAACCTTGCCTCTAATCTAGTGCTCTGGAAATAAAATAAGGCTACATTCCTATACACCACTATGATTGACATATTCCCCTTGGAATTAGATAAAGATGTATATGATTGACCTGTACATGACTTTTCTGAATGTTGGAATTGTTGCAAGCAAGATATTTAAAAGTGGGCTGTGTACTTACAGCAAGGCATGCAGGTTTTCTTCTTATGGTCATAGTATTCGTCACTTGAGCAGTTGTAACAACCTACAAGCAAAGAGAGAAGAAATGTTCATTATACATGGAACAAATATTTTAAGTATAAAATATTTCATGTCCCAGAAAAAAAAATTCTCGTCATCTTTAAAAGGTTTTGGAAGAGCAAAGCTCTGAATTTAAGAATTCAGGGCTATTTTTTTTGCAAGACATTGTATAAAAGGTGTACAAATAGTTTCAAAAGTATCTTGTCTACTTCCTTCTGGTTTTCTATCAATCTTCTATGGGAAATTCTTCTGATGATTTATGTGTTGCAAATGCAAGGTCTCCCAAAGTATAGTTATTTTCCCCTGTAGATTATCAAGGAATATTTGGGTGTCCACTGGCAGGGGCTCAAGATTAAAACTGAATAGAAAACTAAACTAAGTGCTTAATGTTCTTCAGTTTAGGACAGATCCTGATGCAATAATTGAAAAGCTCTGTTGAATTAGAGCACAACAAAACCAATCAGTTAACTGATTTTTTGTAAGGATTTGATAAAGGAAGACACGGGCACTTAAAACCAATGCTCAGGAGTTGTTTCAAAGTACCTTCAATGGGTTTGGCCAGACTTTCATGTTTTATCAGCCTCAAGGGCTGAAACACAATAAGCAGGATGAAAACCTGGTGCTTCAGAGTTTGTTGGGGGAGACTATGAAGACTATCATCTGCTGAAGGGAGGGCAGGAGTGTGCCAGGTTATAATGCCCAGCCACCTCTTATACTCTAGCTGTTAATGTAGCCACAGAAACTTTTCATTTCTTACCTTTATCTAAGTTTCATCATATAATGATAATGGATGTCAATAAAGCACTAATTTTAAGTGATAAAGAATTCTGGCCTGTACAGTCAACTAGAAACTGAGATGCAAAACAAATGTATTTATTCAAAAGGAAAGAAAGACCAGACGTACTTGAGAAAAGACCCTCTAAACTGTCATGAGCTGGTATCTAGAGTGGCTCATGAATGGTTGTACAACTGAGAATCACTGTGATGGATGTCACCTGCTGTCAGGCAAAGTTAGATTTGAAGACATTGGTGGAAGACCATTGCTAAGTCTTTGGCTAATGCTTTCAATTTATAAAAGAATGTTACCTTCAATATTGACTTTTGCTGATGTCACATTGGCACATTTACAGGGGCGATAATGCCAGGTACAATTTAGCTCATTAACATAGTTAGTATAGGTACCATCCATGTTATTTTTCTTATGGCTGTTGTAGTAGTCACAGAAGACAGCTAGAATAAGGAAGAAGACGGTTGTTATTAAAAGTATCAAATAATACTCAACCCATGGGGAGATGATTGAAAGGTGAAATCACATTGGAAAATATCTGTATGAATTAAGGACAAGCTATCCCTGGTGGGACCTGTCCACCATTCCTGATTTTCTCATTAGGGGGGCCCTTATGAGTTTCTGAGGAATTATATGGTTTCTAGGAACCCTGTTCCAAAGCGTTCCAATGGGGAAAAATCCTCATCGTTCTGTGAAGATCCCCCATAGGGAAGCCAATTTGTGAAGCACCGATCAGCTGTTAAAATGGCTGCCCAGTGAAGTATCGGTCCCAAAAACACCCGTTTTGCAAAGCGCCAATCAGTGGCAAAATCGTCATCTTGTGGAAATCGGTTTGCGAAGCAGGGACCCAAACATCGTCCAGCAAAAATCACCCATTGGAATCACTGTTTTGCGAATCACTATAGCGATTGCAAAACCTCATCGTCATGTGGATTCATCATTTTGCGAGGTCGTCTAGCGAGGTACCACTGTACTTGAAAGATACAAAACCTCTTCTGCTAGGAGTTTTGATAACCAATAAACTCACTCAGTTCTGCATATCAGGGTTTATATAAACATAATGCTGCTAGTAAAAACTCCAATGCTTATCTGTTAAAAGTGCTATCACGAAACGTACGACAGAAATCTGGGGATCTCCAGTCAATGCAGACACCGGCATCTAAGCAAGCCTTTGCATAGACTGCAATAGCATCACACATGCATTCACAATCTCCTCCGCTGTCACATCCACATGAGTCATGGACACAGGCATCATAGTAATGCTTGCTATATACCTAGAGAAGCATCAATCCAGAAAGCAAATATAAGTAAGGTGTTTTTCTTTTACACTCCAGTAACAAGAAGCAAGATATAGCCACTAATCAAACAAAACAATCTTTTTTTGCAATGTAATCTGCTTTGTCAACATATAATGATGGGTGACCTTTCATTCGGTTTAATTTGGAAGTGGGTTTGGAAAACTGAATTATTTCCTCAAAACTGGAAAATAATCTGCTTTTTCCCCCAGTTAAATTCTAAAATTTATCAGTATATATGAAATGCCAGATATTCAAGTGGGACCCAGAAAGGTGGAGAGATGGGAGATGATCTTGTTAAGTATACCAATAATCTCTGCACAAAAATGACTAAACCTAGCCTGTCATACTTTGGACAAGACTTATTGGGAAAGAAAACAAAGACAGGAAAACTTGATGGCAGTAGGAAAGAAAGACCTAAATTGATGTGGATGAACTCAATAAACGAAGCAATGACTTCTACATAGCAAAACCAGAGTAAGTGATAGGACCTTCTAGAATAAACATTTTACATGTGACCATTCCAATTATCGATGGCTATCAATCTAGCATTAAAAGTAAAATTGTCATTTGTTAATGGGACAAATTTATTCACCAGGAGATAAGAGCTTGTCTTCCTGTGTTTGCTAAAGTCAGTGTTATGTTGGTTTTACGCTGGTGTAAAACCACAATTGGATTTGGGCCAACATCAACTACTGAAGCAAATTATCTGCTCAAGGGAGAGCCCTCCTCCATGCTTTACCTTAGTTTGGCAGGCAGCAAATACATTACTTTTGATAATGGAGCACTTCTTCTCTGCCCATGCTTTGCGGTAGGGATTCTTGCTGCATGGATCAGCCAAAAAGAACATGTCCCCACAGAGGGGATTCTCTTTCCAGGAATTCACAAACTCCAGTTCATTGGATGCCACATATTTACTTCGGGTTTCAAAATCATCCCTTATGTTCCCATTGTAATTACCACATAAACCACAGAGCTGATCCTAGATTAAAACAAGATATCAATAAACCATGGAAATTATATTTCTACATTAAAGTGTGTCTTGAGATTGAAGCAGCCAAGATATAGGTAGCTTTAGGTTGCTTGGGTGGTTAACCAGCAGCAGTGGAACAAGGAAGAAGAGCAGGATAAATTGGGAGAGAGACTGCAGCCAGGTGGTTTCAGGCATCATTAAAAAGGCAACAAATTGTTAACTTTTATGATTATAGTATTTTTCTCCAAAAAATATGCACATGCGATTAAAAAAATATTTTGGCATTTTCTGAAGGCAATAGATGATAGATACAGCTATAGAAATAAGCGCTATGCAGTGGGATAAAATCACCACACTCGGAGGGGAGCACCCAACCCTTCCCATGTCTGTTGCTGGTCTCTGCACATATAGTAAGTGACAAGTCTGCAAGGAAACATTTTTACTTGTGTCTTTCCAGGGTTTCTTGCATATAAAGTCTACATGCACACAAGAATGTTTTGTTAGTTTGCACACATGTTTGCGCATACACCCCCCAGAATTGAGAGCTATGGCTATGTCATTCTGCCTCAGGCAACAAAATATATTTTGAAATTTGAGATAATATTCTGCCGCTCAACATGGGAAATTCCTATGAGGGTATGGGTTTGAGTAGAAAAAACACTAGAAAGGGAGGAAAGTCCCTGCCCTACATTCACCCTCCATTATTTGCTCAGCTTGAACAATGCACCACTTTAACAATAAACCCCGTTAAAAGCAGTTGCAGAACTGCGAGTCGCGGTGCCTTGCTTCTAGAAGATGTTTGGTTAAAGCCTATAATACCACAGCATTGTGGCTGCCAATTCAATGTGATTCGTATGCCATTAGAATTGTAATTGTGAGGAAAGGTGAATGAGAATCTCTGAGGAACCTCTTTCGCATTACCTTTGCTTCTCGAAATATCTTGATGAATATGTTCATGTGCCTGTTCCAGATTAGGGTCATTTCATATTTGCCAGGGATTGTGATTTCAATAACCAGGTGGAGGGCATTCTCTTCTATGAAAATCTCGGTCTGAGGATTCCAGCCAGAGAACCTGTGTGTTCTGTCTGCCAAAGTGATGGTCAGGTTCTATGGAGAAAAGGAGATATAAAATAGAACTGCATAACTATTTTTCTTGCAGGTAATAACAAGAAAAGCAAAACACAAAAATGGGGTGAAATCACAACATGACAAACAGCAGTGTTAGGGAAAACAGGAGAAAAAGGTCAGGGCGGTAGGCAACTAGGCCTGATAGTATGAATTTATAGCATGTGCTGAACTGCCTTCCATGATGGAATGGACAGGTCTCTTATATTTGATAGTCTTAAAGCCTGGGTGCTGGGATCCTTCAACCATGTCATCCGACAGCAGACACAGACCAAGGGCTCTACTGAAAACCTGAACGAGTAGGCAAAGCCATCTGGGGGAGGCAGCGAGAACATGCACCTCGGTTCTTCTAAACTGTTTTCGGCTCTCAAGGCAATACTTGGAATTGGGCTCAGAAACAAACGGGAGCCAATAGCTGGTATGAGAATAGAGCCAGATGGTATTGAAAACAGCACCGGCCAAAACTGTTGGAGCTGACAGGCTAATCACTTTTCAAAGATAACCAAAGTTCAAAGTGGACAATCCAAGCTGGATGTGAATGGATAGGTGGACAGGGATCTTAGCTTTCTATGCAGAAGGCTCCAGATCCACTCCTTGTTATTTCCACTTTTTTTTTAAAAAAAAGGGATTGCATAGGCAGATTAGAAGAACCTGCTAGAAGATCTTTCTGAAAAACTGTTGCCATTATCAGAGCTGCTGCTTGTGGACTAAATGGACCAAGAATCTTACCTTCAGTAAGGCAACTTCCTATGTTCCTAGTGTGAGACCATGATGAGCTCTGCCCTCTAAAAAAAAACAGCTTATCTGGCCCATAGAGCAAAAGCTGTGAAAAAACTCCAGACAAGACTACCATGTGGTCCTCTAGGAGTAATTCCAGGCCCAAGAGCATTGCAAAGTTGTGAACTTACTTTTTCAAGGGAACCACATACAATCCCATCTAAAGCAAGATGCATACCTAGTTCCTGATGACCTTCTCAAGTATCCAAAAGAACTACTGTCTTTCTATGTGAAGTCCCACCTTGTTTGCTTACTTTCTACTATGGTGTAATGAGGAAATCTCATTGACGTTAATGTAGAACAACAAATAGTCTTACCCCAAGATAGATCTTGATTGACCTGGAACACGTGACTCCAGTATTTCCACAAACGACATTCTCAGTGACTATTTTAAAAGTGTGAGAAGTTCTACCTGTCCCACAGCCATCCTAAGAAAAGACACACATAGGCAGATAATCATTAGAGTTGTCAGAGAAACAAAGTGTATATGAGGGTTTAAAGTATGGAATAGGGCCTCTTAGGTTTCAAAACTAGAAGCTGTTTGGCACATTTTATTAATAAGGCCTGGGCCATGAAGTTCCTGGGGGTTCTTCTTGGTGAAGTTCAGCCATGGTGGCTTTGTGTCCTACTTTAGCAAGGAAAGTCCTCTGTTTCAAGGCAGTTTTGAAAGCCTGTCCGGTTAAAAAAAAAAAAATGCCATCAGAAGGCATAGTGTGCTCCTTGAGGCTGCCTATCAACAGTTAACACCCAGACAGTAGAGTAAGGCAGAAATGTCTATCACTAGCCATAGACACCTTTAATATAGTGAGACATGCTTTTATTTGAATAACAGTTATATAATTATTATTTCTAAATGTGCCTTCATACACGTCAATGATAGATTTGTACAAATCTATCTCTTTGACTTTTCTGGTGATTCATTCCATCTATTTTTAGCAAAGTGAGAGCAACTATCCTATGACTAGAAAATGTTATCGTGCTTCTCTCTCCTCTTTCCATCCAGCAGAGAAATGTAAGATACTTGGAAACTACGATGAATTGATATAGTATTAACTGCATTCATCAGGTCATTTGGTCAAATTGCCCCTCTAGAAATAATTCTCCAATCTGTGGCGGAAACCTTTTAGCTTAGTGTAGAAAGTTCCATTAAAGCAGGCCCACTGAATTAGTGGAGATTTGATGAGTCATCTCTTGTGTACGCTCCATTGATTTGAATGGGCCTACTCTAGCTGCAACTTAAATAAAATCAGTGGCAACTGGAGTAGACCTATTCTGATCAATGGGATGTACAGAGGAGTTGATTCACAAAATCTTCACTGATTCAGTGGGCCTACTCTGTAGTGACTTGTTATTACACTAAACAACATAATCAATGTCTAGGAGGTCTGATTATTAATGAGATGCGGTTTTTAAGGCATGTTGGCCAATTAGACATGGTGGAAAAGACATGACCTAGAGAGCTATCTCCTGGTGCTTCAGATCAGCCTAATTATATGGTTTGCCTCAGTAAGAAGGATGCTGCCATCTGCCTTTTAAAATGCGACACCACACCAGATCAGTCCAAAGGATGCTTTAATGAAGGAAATCCCTAAGCTTTATTTTCCTCTGACAACTCATATATATTAATTGTCTTTCCCATCATAAGCTTCACTAAGGGAATGGAAGAACTGAGAGTTCAATTCTTAGATGGCATTTTTTTGTGGAAGAAAGAAAAATACTCTAAAAATGAAAATGTATCTTGTGATAATGAGAGTTATGCAAAGATACCTGGATTAAGGAGAGATAAATTCTACAGCCCACTTACATTTTCAGGGATGAAATTATAGTGGAAAGTGCAGGTTATTTATTTGTTCTTCGGGGCAAGATATGGTTGCGCAGGAGTTGTTTTTGAAGTCCAAAAGAGGAATTTAGGTAACAAAAGGTGTAAAAGGTCCTCTGACAGCCTCTTCTAAGGTTATGGTTATAAATCCTTGAAAATGCAATTTTACCCCGAGATACACTTCGAACTACAAACTTTGATTTAAAGTGTTATTTATATTTAATCAAATAAGTTTAACTGTCAGTTCCAGATTTTCAGAGAAACAATCTGTATGCCGCATCACAGAATGCAAAATGCAATAAAAAGTGGTATGATCACCATAACTAGTGTGTATTCACAGGAGCCATCAAACATGTATCTCTGTCCATCAAATGTGCTGATATGGCCTTCTCCGTAGAGGCTGCAGGTTGATGAACATCTGGAATTTTCGATGCATTTCCATTTTCCTCTTTCACAAGTGCTGGTGAGCGAACAAAAACCCTTTTTAAACACATTTCAAATGAACATAAAATTGAATCTCTTTTTCCATAGAACATTACTGCTGTCTTTGTATGACAATAACTTATTTTCCCAAAATGACATTCTCAGTCTTGCTGTGTTTCATTGCACATTTAATACCAAGCAGTACTGTAGTGATGTTGGGCAGATGCACAGACTTTATATGTTTATTAACTGTCCTTTGAATGGCATACTGGCACAATTTAGCTAAGTACACATTTGGATGGAAAGTCTTACCATGTCTTGCAGTCAGCATGGATCTCCTCTCCTTTTGCATATGAGATGCCACCGTATTCACAAGGACACTCCTCAGGTGGCACACATGTGCCATCTAGTTTCTCATAGAGTCCAGAAGCACAAATACAGCCTGATTCACACTGGGTGGGGACCTGGAAAAAGTCAATCAAGTTCCAGCTCAGTCACGTATTAAGAGCTAAACATCCCTAAAAACTGTGTTTTGCATCATTTTGTTAATATTTTAAATAAAGCTGTTTAAAAAGAGAGAAAAAAAACAAAAGAATGTATGTGGCATCAGAATGCATCTGTCTTTTTGAACTGTGGGATACATTTTGGTCAGCCACTTTTAGTCCAGATCCAGCCTTCCATAGGTTATTTTAAGATGAGGCAAGAGACCTGTGGTCCTCTAGATGTTGTTGGACTGCTACTCCAATCACCCCTCATCACTAAGCTTATCATAACTAGGACTTCTGGGACCTTGCAGCTCAACATCTGGTGAGCAACAGAGTTTCCACTCCACTCTAAGCTGTATGTAACTACAAGTGGTGATAATCTGTTCCACTGAAATTGCTGTTTAGCAAAATCATTGTCTAGCAAAAAGCATTTCCCCATTGAAATGCATTGAAACCTGTTTAATGCGTTCCAATGGGGAAGAATCGTCATTGTCTAGCGAAGATCGGCTACAGGAAAGCCGCTTTGCGAACCGCCAATCAGCTGTTTAAATCGCTTAGGTCCCTAAAACACCTTTTTGTGAGCATGGGGGAAGCTATCAAAATAGTCGTCTAGCTAAAATCGGTTTGCAAAGCAGGGACCAAACATTGTCCAGCGAAATTCCCCCATAGGAATCACAAAAGTCAATGTCTAGCGAAAAAACTGTCATGCGGGGTAACTGTCTAGTGAGGCACCTCTGTATTTTCAATGTCAGCACAAGCCTTAGGATTATTTGTAGTTAGATAACTTTTATGTCGGGGAAAATATTAGAGAAAAAAAAAAGTAAACTTAAATACTTGTCTACATTCAGTCTCCTAATTGCCATATATTCATCACAGGTCACAAGTTTTGCAAAGTATCTTGGAGCCTCCGTAATGTCTTGCTGAGGCCCTTCCTGGATTTTATTAATATATTGCAAAACGTACATATTTCCCCCAAATATTGCCATAAGATTTTTGTTATTAAAACCCATTGCAATTTTCTTAAAAATCCTGATCACTTTAAAAAGAGATCGACTTAAGTCAGCATTCTTAATTTTTTTTTTCTTTTGAACTGTTGTTGCTTGATGCCCTGATGTTATGAGGGACAAAGATTATCAGTGGAAATATACCAAAGGTTTTAAGCATTATCCCAGCTGTGTGGACGTGACACATCTGTGGGAAGCTCCTGCATGGATGGGAGAATACTCATAGCACTGTAAATGATTAATAGAACAGTCCAGTGCATATCTAAAAAGAAGTAGCATCCATCCAGTCAGTTGAAAGTGCTACCGTGTAAGTGGGCACAGGACTGCAGCCTAAGCAATCTGGTCCTCTTGTTAGGAACTATTGCATGGGGCTTTCTCAGAGAACTGCCAGTCAACCAGGAGCGCATGGAAAGGATTTCAGCAGTTTTCACTGCTCAGTATCTGGGTCATTGGGGGTACCTTTTCTCATTTCTGGGGGACCTGCCCATAGGGAAACAGTTCCCACAAAGTATTTCAAGGATGTGCATTTGTGTGTATGCTTAGGATCAGGGTGTTATTTGTGTTATACAGGCATTATGAAGAATCTCAAATGTAAATTTGAAGGGAAAGTATAAATGAGAGCTGGGGTAATGAAATTACGGTAAAATATCAGACATATCTAGTCACATGTCTTACTGAGTTTAGTGGGGCTTATTTCTAAAATGAGCTGGAATTTTTAGCATGCATACATTACTGAAACAGCAACGTCTATGTTGGCTCAGGCATGTTGTGAGAATGGCTGATGCTTGGATTCCAAAAGATATACTGTATGGAGAATTAGTGCAGGGAAAGCACCCCAGAGGGAGACCATAGCTGCGATACAAGGATATCTGCAAGTGGGATCTGAAGGCCTTAGGAATGGACCTCATCATTCTGAGTGTTCAGCCTGGAGGCAGGCATTGCATCATGGCCTCTCCCAATTTGAAGAGGCACTTGTTCAGCAGGCCGAGGCAAAGAGGCAGTCCTCAAACCAGCAAAATCAGGGAGCTGGACAGGGGACAGGCTGTATTTGTCTTCAGTGTGGAAGGGATTGTCACTCTCGAATTGGTCTTCTCAGCCACACTAGACGCTGCTCCAAGACCTCTATTCAGAGCATGTTACCATAGTCTCTTGAGACTGAAGGATGCCTACTCTTGCTCCCAGATCCCTTTTTACATCACTGCAACCTGAAAGGCTGAGCCAGAAATCTCTAGTCTGAGGTGCAGATTCTATGAGGATCACTCTCAACCTTAAACCATGCCTTTCATTTACCTAGCTCTCCCTGAATATTTTAGCTGATAGAATGGGATAGAATAGCAATGGAAAGGGAAGAGAGATTTCTTCACCAGTGGGCCAGGGTCAGGTGGGGTGGAACCAAGTGCGACTTTCCCAGCTCTCTATTCATTAGTCTTGACAGCATCACTGTCATAACAGCCTAGACCTCCATTATGAGAAAACTACCTCAGCCAACAGGGTTTTTTTGTGACATGAAAAGACTATCTATCTATCTATCTATCTATCTATCTATCTATCTATCTATCTATCTATCTATCTATCTATCTATCTATCTATCTATCTATCTATCTATTTCTCTCTCTCTCTCTATTTCTCTTTCTCTCGCTATCTATCTATATCTATATCATCATATATCAAAATTATATATATATATAATTATATATACCTCAGCCAACAGGGCTTTATATATATAGTCTTTTCATGACACAATATATATATAACTATATATCTATATCTATCTATCTATCTGTTGGCTGAGGTATATATAATTATATATCTATAATTTTGATATATGATGATATATATATATGTCATGAAAAGACTATATACGTATATATATATCTACAACAGTTACTTGTCTTTTCATGACACAAAAAAACCTGTTGGCTGAGGTATATATAATTATATATATATAATTTTGTAACCAAAGAGAAAAGTTTTTTTTTAAATGTAATTTAATTTAATTTAATTTTTGCCATCAGTGTTAGAATAACTTCAGTGACCTAGTGCTCAAGCTTGGGGTGGAGGAGGTTGCTGCTTTGCCTCCGGTGGCAATACATTTTGGAGCTGCTCTGCCGGCCATAAAGCTCAAGGAGCTAGCAGGATGTGGTGACTCTAATTCAAGGTCCAAAGCAGCATTCAAGCATGACATGTCCTACTCTTACAAAGAGAAAATAGTGCTAATACGATTTTCTATTCATGACTATTTAGTTTTGTAGCAAGAGAATACTAATTGTCAGAGTTCTATTGGCCTTGTTTACATTCTCTAAATCAGTGCTTCCCAACCTTGGGTCTCCAGATGTTCGTGGACTGCAACTCTCAGAAATCCTGGCCAGCATATCTATTGCTAAAAGCTTCTTGAAGTTTTAGTCCAAAAACATCTGAGGACCCAAAGTCGGAAATCATTGCTTAAATGAGTACCCCTCATTAATGAAGCAGAGCCCAGTTCTTGCATGCTTTTGAGATCACAATTGTTGAAAAGGTATTGAACTCACACATTCAATTCCAGTGGCCAGCATCTGACAGGTTGGTGCACAGGCTGCTCCGTACTTGCTTCCTGAGGATGCTGAGCATGAAACATATCTTTTGGGTGACTTGCAGCTTTCTAGGAAAAAGGAGATAGAAAAGTATGGATTGCTATTTTTTGTGTTATAGGAGCAACAGATACTCAAAATGGAAAATGTAATGAAATTCATACCTGCTGGGTCCACAGGTTTGCCAGTACAACTCAGATTCCCATTAATGCAATAGCTAAAAGAGAGAATGTAACTTAGAATACACCAATGAAATGCTGGAGTTATTTCAACATTGTATGCTGTCTTTAGCTGGAAGGGACCTTTCTGGGTTGGAGTGACTGTCAATCAAACCAAGAGCAACCAATTGTTCCTTCCCTGCCTTTAATTTTAGAGACATGACTCTCTGCTTGCATCTCTTTTCCCTTCTCTTTTAGTCTACTGGCAGTTAGTGCAAGATGTTTGCAGACTGGAAGCAGGCTGTGATCCCATTAAGGTCTGTTACTCTAAGCAGTTGTTTGTTCAGTATGCTGTGTTTTTTAAATTTGTTCAACTGCCAGTAAATGAAACACTTTATTCTTTCTCTTACCAATGTCTCAGAGTGAGCTACTCGGACTGTAAGTGCCAGTTAATGAAAGCAAAAAGGGATAGTCTACTCTGGGGAGACGTGAAGCTAATTCTGCTGTTAGTTCCCGCACTTCCGCTGCACAGCTAGAGGTTATTTGACCAGAAACTCAAAACTCTGCCAGAGGAAATGTATAGAATCAACTCTCTCAAAGGCTGAACCCAAATGTTTTCTTGAATTTGTTGTGCAGCTTTCTTCTTTGGGCTGGTATTCAACACCCAAGATTAATCAGACATAGACACAAATCTAGGTAACTTATTTTGTTATTAACAGTTGTTTACTTGTTCCAATTCTTTGAGAAGGAGGAGGATCAAAATTGAATTGGTACGTATATAAATACAGCATCAGGTGAGATAATACAAATGACATAGAAGTGATACAATTTTACTAATGGACCTGCAATAAGTGTCAGATGGAAAGATTAAGGGTGAGAATTGAATGGATTGTGAGGTAAGTAAAGGATTAATTAAAGGAGAACTATAGGAAAATTTTACTGTTTCAGTTTTCCTTCTTAATTTGTTCCATACATGTATAATTATACTCATATATTTATTTTACCAGTATAAATATTATTTATTTATTAAATTAACTTTCCTCCTACAGCAGAGTTCAATAATACATACACAGTCTCCCATAAAGTCACTAGCTGGACCTAGTCCTGCTTAGTTTCAGCAAAGTTGTTGTGCCAGAAAACATAACCTGGGACCTAGTCATGCTGCCTAGTTTTGGAATAAAATGCTTGCACCTGCAATATAACTTTTGGAGGCCATTAATTCATAGGGTCACCATGACTTTGAAGCATCTTGAAGACACATAACAGCAACAGTATCACTCTTCACCTCTAGAGGAGGATGGGGCATATTAAACTTCTTGGGGTGAAATCATTAGTCCTGCTAAAACAGACCCATTGAATCAATCAACCTTATATAAGTTTTGACTTAGTAATACCCTTTTGATTCATAGGTTTATTCCAACTGTGACTAAAAAGTTGGATTTAGATTTTCTTCTTCTTCTTCTGAAACTTAGAAACAGCTTTGATTAAACTAGTTTTGCATTTTTGATAGAATATTGACCTTTCACGTCTTCTCATCAGCAAAGTAATATTTCACATAACAGTATGTGTTTGTTTATCTCTTGCTACCTCTACTTCTTATGTTACTAGTTTATTTAAAAGATGCTTCCTTGACCTGTCTCTCCCTCTTATTTGACAATGCTAGCTTCATGCTTTTACTCCTGCAAAGTACATTTAATGCACACATAAAACGACAAGGACAACATTCAAAACAAAAAGGTTCATCAATGTCCTACTGGATCTGGAAGAAACATATATTTAAGGAAACTTTAATACACTCATAAACTTGTGAACCATTTCACTTTGCCATAAGAGATGCCTACCAAGTAATTCCACCAACCACAGTTGACTGATCAGCCAGAATGAACTTCCTGTCATTGAGGTAGCAAGGACACTGGGATTTGCGTACGCATTGATTTTTGTGGTTCAAGTAGGTTCCTTTCGGACAATTGCAGCCATCAATAGGGATATCAATGGGGTGGCATTCTAGTTCTCGGTTAGAGAGGGACAGACATGTCCGGTCACAGGACTGAGTGTTGTAGCTGAATGTCTGATTTCCTGTACAAGAAATGGCTGCCAAAAGGAGGAACAGTATAATTAGATTTTGTTGCTCAGAAATCTTCAAGGTGTGCTCAACCAAACCCATTTTCCACCATACCCATTTCTCCATCCTACAGGGGACCAGAAGAGAAATAGTAGGGAGACTGTAGATATGTGGGAGGTACATGTATAGTGTTCTTACCAAGTTAACTACTGATCATGCATTTGCTGGAAGATGTGCTGGAAGCTATCAGGGGAGTATGAAAATCTCTTACTCCCTTCACCTCTCAGCCAGCCCTTTTCTTTCTCTAATAATTGTGTGATATGGGAGCTAGAAACTCAAAGGAGTTTGCTCTTTCCCAGTCTTGCTCTTTCCCAGTCAGCATGTTTCACTGCTGCAAAGGGCAGACTACTTGTGCATTTAGCATGAAGCATACAGAATTGAACATCCACATAAATTTATGAGGATTGAATTGACTGTAGGAGTCAGGTGCATAAACTATGTTACTGGGCTTGATAACATCCATTATTAGGAACATTTGACTGTGTGTACTGGCCCTGATTGATTGAAATCTAATCATTTAAAAATAGTTCTGCCATTTATCATGAGTCATTTTTGAAACAACAATAATGAAGGTCAAGGATCCTGATATGTTTTAGAAGGAACCAAGGATTACTTACTGCAGTTGTCCACTGTACTCCGCCAGTTCCCAATGAACAGTCCCATTGATGCACAGACACGGGCATATGAACCCAGTGCAGAACAAATATAAGGGAAGGTCTCCTCATAGTTGCAAGCTTGGTATACACATCTCTGGAAACAAACAGGTGGAATGTGTTCTGTTAGTAACAGGTCAGAAATATTGACTGCTAGGGCACATGAGATGTTTATGCTTGCTTGTATATGCTGATTCCGTTTTTAAAAAAATGCATGTGAACTATTTAGAAATTCTGTATTTAATGTTCTATCTATGACAGCTCATGCATATACACAGATCACAATTTGAAGGTTCAGTTGTCAAATGATGAATATGTGTGAAATAGCTTTTTCTTGTTGCATGAACAAAACTCTTCTGAAAACTCTGCATGAAGTGGTAGTTCTCAATCACTATACCAGTCCATTTTTGACAGAGAAATAGATGTGCATTTGTATTCCAAGTAAACAAAGAATTTATAATATAAAACCAAACTCCTTTTAGAGGTTCTGGTATCATGCCAAGCCAAGGATTTTTAAAATCTCTTTTAATTGAATTTTATTAAAAAATCTTCAACATATAATTTTTTTCACAGCCTAGAAAATGCATTTTGGGATTCAAATATCAGTAATTAGCAGCTATGCATGAATGTGACACACATTAAAATGTTCAAGACTTGAAAGTCATCATGTTGTATCTAGTTTGCAAGATCTAGTTTGTAAGACATATCAATACCAAACCAGTGAAAATTCACACAGCAGGATGGAAATGTCTAGTATTTGTTACCAAGTCAGTACTGTAGAAGCCAGTAATACATACACAGATTGGGAAATTAGGATGGGCACCTGTTACAGAAGAACAGAATTTTTGGAGGGCAGGTTATGTAAGTCATATGACCAGAAATGTGATGGCACAGACTAATATAATTTTGGCAGGATAACTTTTGAAATGTTGATTAGTTACACAGGGAATCCACAACATCTCCCATATTTCCTTTATTGCACTGCCTTGCTACTGAATGGTGCAGCTGAAATTGTATTACCTCTCTAAACAAAGCACCTATTTTTTAATGCCCAGTTATGAATCACACATTTGGTGATCCACATTCCTGTTGTGCAGCCTCCATCATGGCAGGAGAACTTCTTTGCCAAGAGTACATTGAATGCAAACACCCGTCCTCTCCTCTTGCCCCACCCATGAAATACCTTTTGTTTTCTCTGGGACTTCAACATACATAAACAAGAGAAATTTTAAGTCAACTTTATAGGTTGCAGCCAATGTTACAACTCAAGTGAGACCATGCTTCTTGGGAAATGTTCTCCTGTAATGTTCATAACAGCTGACCTGATTCTGGATTCCACTGAGAGATGTCTGTTCATTACTGCTCTCCTTAAACTGGGGAGTATATTCTGGTGGGACTGTCAGATGAAAAATTAAAAAGTGAAGCATGACCCAGACCTACTGATGCTTCCTATAATTCAAGGGTTGATGCTAACTATATCTGGCCTAGGAGGCTGAGGAAAAAATGTCATTAATGCTATTTTATGTTAAACAGAAGCCATAGGCCATGTCCGAGCTGCTTTATAGTGAAAGAAAACACCATTAGCACCAGCTAAGCCTTCAGTCCAGTCCACCTTAATTGTGGGAGGAACTGGGAAAAGTAACAAGCTCTGTTCGGTTATTTCTCTTCATGAAAATATAATCATTTTCTCTTTCTTTGGGTTCTTCTGTTTACCTCTAATTTATCCCACTTCATCATATCCTATGGCTTTTGAAAAGATGACACTAATGTTTTATTTCACATTAAACAAAGGCAAGAAATTATCACTTTCCAAATATAGAGCGCTACAGAAAAATACAAGGCACCTATGCAATTGAATCTGTTACTCTCTCATATTGAATATTGACAATAAATCCATACCTTGTAAAATGGGACTGGATTCACTATGGAATGGCATTTCTCAAATATTGTACCCTTCTTCACAAGAACATAGCAGTGGGTCTCTGCACACACCTCTAAACCAAACACAGAATCAAATGCGTCAGACAACAGGGACGAGGGGAATTAAAACTACAGTGGTATTATTAAAAATGCAGCTAGATTTGTAGCCAATTTTGACCTCCCTCACTGGTGATCAAGGTTATGGGTTTGTCATTTTTTTCTCTTGGGCTATCCAAGAAAACAAGCCAAGCTCTGTTTACATTTCACTTAAATATAAATCTTTAAAGACAACATTTAAACTGATAAACTTTGTACATTTTGGTCCTGCCAAAAGCAAATTTGCCGACCCTTTTCATGCTACCTGCATCTGAAAGTTTATGTAGTAGATGGCAAAGCTCCAAAATTACAGATTACACAAACTTTTAAAATAGAGTTTCAGGAAAGGGGCACAGGTGATGGCACTTACTGTTTAACTGACTCATAGAGCAAGGATCTGTGTCTCTTTCAATAGCAGCGGGACAGTTTCCTGATCTCCACGAATCCACAAAGAGTGTTGCTGTTCCTTCAACAATGTCCATACTGGTCATAAAGTCATCTGTAGTTTCTCCATTGTAGTTACCACACAACCCTGGTGACATGGAAATACATGGGTGAGATGGAAAACAGGGAGCAAATCAAATAATGCTTGCCATGCACCCCAAATGTCCATTTGAGGGGTTCTGGAAAATCCTCTTGAGCTTTTTTCTAGTCAGCTGTGAAGGCCTGGGGGGGCTGGGGGTGGAGAGAAATGCCAAAATGTAGGAATGAAAATAATTTTCACAATCTGTTTTAGCCTTTGAGGAAAGTACAGTTCAATTCACAAACAAATCTGTTAGTCTTTAAGATGCCACAATATTTTGCTGATTTTCTTTCTTTATCTTGATTTATATACCACCCCATTAGTGAAAAGCACTATGCTTGGATGGTCTACAACCTAAAAAAAAAAAAAAAATAACTGAGATGAAAAACTGAATTCTATTTTTTTTATTTACTCCCTTTTTTTAAAAGCCTGTGAAATAAATTTTGCTCAACTGAAGAGCCATATAGTGCACTTCAAAGCCTTACTGAGCAAACTAGAAGCATGACATAGCTTATCTTTGTGCTAAAACACAGACCTTTGTCCTGTATGGGGAAGCCTATCACAATTTTCGTATCAATGCAGGGTATGGTAGTCTCATCTCACAAACTATTTCCAGATGAAATTTGGAACAGACTGAAGAAATTTGTATAAAATTAACTTAAGAGATGAACTTAGTAGCAAGGTCCAAATTTTATGAACTGTAGTCATATTATAATGATGATTACTAAAAATCTCCTCCTTAGACTGAGCTCTTCATTCGTAGAATTGCAAGCCCCTGATTTTAAATTAGCAGTACACATGCAATATGAGAATGACTAAGAAGATGCATTTACACTCGGGCCATAGAGTGTAACAGAGATGACATTTGATGCCCTGCTTCTGGGTGTAAGTCCAAATCATTTAGTGTTTGGCATGGTTGTCCATGGTTTGGCAAAGGAATCCTTGTGTAGTCTGTTTTCACACATACCTCTCCCTTCTTGGACTGCGACAAATTAATTCAGACTACTAAACTGATTTATAACTGATTTGCATTACTTAGTAATACATGGCATTTATCCAGGCCTAAAGGGATATTTATGGAAAGTCCAAAGAAGTATACAGTAGATCAACTGTGTTTGAACTGGGAGAACCCCATCTGTGGGGAGGGGAAATCCCTTTTCACTTCCTCTCAGATAAAACTCATAGCCTTCAGTCACTGAAGTGAAAGACCAAGGGGAACCAGATTCTTTACCTCGGGTGTTGCCTTGGAACTGCAGTCCAGCTTTAACATAAACTTGGAACACTGGAAGAATTTGAATTAGCAGCTCTAATCCAAAGGTGGTGTACATCTGAATGTGAGTGGATGACTGTCGGAAGATGATGATGTCCCCTAAAAGAAATGCAATCATTGAAACAGGTCTGTCTGTTAAAACAGACTATGGTTGGTCTATTTTAAAAAAATATTCTCAGATTTATATTTTCATTTCCTCAGAGTGATCCGTTCTACAATTGAATCAAGATTTTGCTACCATGATAGACAGCTGTTTGATAATTTATTTAAAGTTGTACACCATTTTCTCACATGCCTTGGTAACATTTAACCCAAATAAAATGCAAGTCATGTGCACTTTTGGCAATATTGCCCATTTAGTGAGCAATTGTTAAATATTCTTCTTTCTTATCTTACCTGATTTGTATGGTAACTTTTTATGTTCATCCTCATCAATTAAACCTTCATTTTTAGAAATCACAATTTTGTCCTGTATGGAAAGAAAAGAGCACAGAATCCTAAAGAGAGAGCTGGAATGAATGTTTGCTTGAACTTATAATGTAAACTTCCCAAGATTAACTCTGCACAAGAACCGTAATCAGAAGAAAAGTCTAGCCGCCTAGAGTAATCTTAATTGATTAGATAGGCGGGATAGAAATCAAATAAATAAATAAATAAATACTGGAATTTCTAATCTATATGCCATATACTGTACTGTGGTGCCCTGACTTACGACCATCCCTACTTATGACCATTTCGAGTCGTCAAATTTTGCTTCGTCTTGCAGTCGGAGCCTCGACTTGCGATCAGGAAAAGGTAGGGGGGAAAGGTGGGAAATTCAGACTGGTGGAGAAGAGACTGCTTCATTGTAGCTCTTTTGTCCCAACAGGTAGAGAAACGGATGAAGCAGTGGGGGGGAGGGGATGGCGGTGGCATTACCTCACCTAACGGTGGGATCCCGGTCCTCAGCCTTGGCACAGGGCCCCCCGATCCGGGCTCCCAGAGGAAGCGTCCTCCTGCGCAGCTGCCTGCTCCTTCTTAGTGGGGCTGTGCTCAGTGCTTGGCCTTGTGGGGGCGGCTCCCCTTGTCTGCTAGCCTTGCCGTCAAAGCGCTGTGAAAGGCTTTGCCAGGCCCGGTGGAGGGAGGCAGCGGCGGTCCGGCACTGGGAAGCTGAGCCTGGCCAGGATGTTTTGGCTGCTCGCCTCCCCACGGGCTCCAATGAAGACAGGGACAGCGTTGGTGGTGATGGTGGTAATGGCGGCAGCGGCCCAGCACTGAGAGGCTCAGCCTGGCCAGGACTCTCCAGCTGCTCGGCCCAGCCTTGTCCTCTGCCATGTTCCTATGGGGCTTGCAGTGTTTTATTTTTATTTTATTTTATTGGTATTTTTGTATTAAATGCTGGAACGGATTAATCTCATTCCCATGCATTTCAATGGGAAAGGGTGCTTCGATTTCCGCCCATCTTCTGGAACAGATTATGGTTATAAATTGAGGCATGTCATGATACAGTAGTGCCTCGCTTAACGAGCGCCCCGTTTAACAACGAATCCACATACCGATGCGGATTTTGCTATCAATTTTGCGATCGCATTACAATGTTGACTATGGGGAAAAATCGCAAAGCGATTTTTCCCCATAGCCCAATTTTCCCCCAGCCCCGCCCCTCAGCTGGGGCAATATGCCTGCGGTGGCCTCGGAAGGTCCCTGCCGGCGGCGGGGACAGGGTAGGGGTGCCCCAAAGGCTTCCAGGCAAAGGTCTGGAAGCCTTCGGGACACCCTCCACCCTGCAGCTGCCGCCGCCACCGCTTGAAGCCACCCCGCGCCGCGTATCCCACCCGTTCTCAGACTTCCAGGTGTCCGAGCATGGCTGGGGTAGGCGGCGCAGGGCGGCTGCCG